GACGTCTGTCCCAGCCAAGCCCCGAGCAGCCCCCCGCCCGCCGCCCCTTAGCTGCCCCCGAGCCAAGCGAGCCCTGAGCGCTGGCCTGGCCGGACGGCTTTCTTTATGGAGCCCCAGGGCCTGTCTCCTCTATTGTCTGCTCGTGTTTACAGGCTTGTTCGTGTTTGCCTCATGATTTTATTCTGGGTGACGCCCCAGTTTGGAAGGGGCCTGCATGCCATCCTGCTGAGGCTCCTCATCCATCATCTCCCCATCTCCCAAGCCTCACGGTAAGAGGGAGGGCCTGTCACCCACAGAAGAGCTGGTGAGAGGGGTGCTCTCCGTTTGCAACATAGATGTCTGTGTGTATTTATGCATGCATGTGTGTGTCTGTTAGGATTTGAAGGAGGCTTACCTCTCCACCTACACCCTGTGGCCCACCGAAAACTCCCCAAGCTGGAGCGCTAAAGACATGGACACCACAGGCCAGGGCTGGCTTCCTCCCCTACACAGAAATATGGCTTCAGCCAATTTCTTCACTTCTCACGATTTCAATTTCCAAGTTTTTCATCTCTGCCACTTGGGAGGCTGAGTTAGTAGGATCATAAATCTAAGACCAGCCCGGGTGACTTTGCAAAACCCTATCTTAAAATTAATAATGAGATAATAATAATAATAATTTTTACATGGAGCCCAACAAGATGGCTCAGTGGGTAAAAGGGCTTGCCTCTAAGTCTGGTGACCTATATTTGATCCCCAGAACTCACGTAAATGTGGAAGGAGAGATAAACTTCCTGAAGCTGTCCTCTGACCTCTACAATATGCCCCATGCACAAATATTGCCAAAATGTAAATAAATCAATGTTTACAAAATGGTTGGCAATGTTCTGAATAGTAGAATCCTGCCGAAAATCCCCCCAGTGAGGGATTAGGGTTGTGGCTCAGTGGTAGAGCCCCTGCCTAGAATCCCCCAGTGAGGGGCTGGGGTGTGGCTCAGTGGTAGAGCACCTGCCTAGCATTCCCCAGTGAGGGCCTGGGCTGTGGCTCAGTGGTAGAGCCCCTGCCTAGAATCCCCCAGTGAGGGGTTGGGAGTGTGGCTCAGTGGTAGAGCACTGTCAGACTGTCAACACACCATAAAGATGAGGGGCCAGTGTGTGCAGGACAGTGGCTCACAGCAGTCTCATCTTTATGGTGTGTTGACAGTCTGACAAAGCACAGAACACTTCCTAAGCACATTACTGTCCCTGACGGCAGGAGTCCTGGAGGCTGACTATGGTGACCAGATGACTACCTACCCCAAGACAACCTGCAAACTCTCAGGATTCCAACCACTAGAACTCCAGCACCCAGAAAGGTCTGAATTCCAGAAGAGCCCCCGTCCTGCATAGAGTTGCCAATACTGTGCTCCTGCCTGATGGCCCCAGGGGCCCCGCTCACACCGTGTCTAGGAATCTAGGAACTGAGGACGAACCTGGGCCCTTCTGAGATCTTCTGAGCAACTGAAAGGGGGCGGATGGCTGATGCTGAGAATGAGTGAGTGGAGTCCCCAAGGAGACAACCGTCATCCTGGTCTCTAGACCGTCGCTTACCCATTTTCATCAGCCTCAGGGTTAATGGTGCAGATGTATACAAAAATGCACCTGTCCAACCGAGGAGAGGCTCCAGGCTAAGAGTGTTTGCTCTGCAAGCTTGCAGACCTGAGTCCAGTTCCCTAGGCCCTGTGTGAAAACCCAGGCATGGCTATGCATGCGTGCAACCCCAGTGTTGGAGGGTGGGAACAGACAGAATCCGAGAGCTGGTTGGCCAGTTGTCTTAGCTGAGCTTGTGAGCTCACAGTTTTAGTGAAAGACTATCTCAAGCCAAAATGGCAGAGAGAGATCAAGGAAGACACCCTCCACCCTGCTCCTGTTTCTGCATGGGCGGGTGCACACACAAACCCCTGTGTCCACGCGCATGCAGCATTCATTCCCTGAAGACATCTATTGTGTTCATTAGTTTCTGTTGTCTTGACATAATCTAGGCCACCTGAAAGGAGGGTGCTTCAGCGGCAGAATCGCCTTGATCGGATTGGCGTGTGGGCGTGTTTGTCTCGACTGATGATGGATGTGGGAGGCCCCATCCACTGTGAGCAGCAGCATTTCAACGCACGTGGTCCTGCAGCTGGGTTAGCTAGCTGAGCAGGCCAGAGAACAAGCTAGCAAGCAGCCTTTCCTCGTGGTCTCTTCCAGCGTCCTGCCTAGATGCTTTTCCTCAAGGCGGGACTGTTATCAGAGAATATAAGGTGAAAGAAATACTTCTCTCCCTAAGTTGCTTTTGGCTGTGCTGTTTATTACAGTAACTAAAAGGAAAGTAGAACCTATATTAATATCACTTATCCTCTTACAATTAGATACTGCCATCATTCTAGAACATTCCCTATGTCTATCCTCAGTGCAACAACCTTTTTATATATAATTTATTTGTTTTTATTTTATGTGCATTGGTGTTTGCTCGCATGTGTGTCTGTGTGAAGTGTGTCTATGTGAAGGGTGTTGGATCCCCTGGAACTGGAATTACAGACAGTTGTAAGCTGCCATGTGGGTGCTGGGAATCGAACCTGAGTCCTCTGAAAGAGCAGCCAGTGCTCTTAACTGCTGAGCCGTTTCTCCAGTCTCCATAACAACTTCTAATGTGCTTAATTACCATAGATTAAATTCGAAGCTAACAGTGTCTTTTGATGATCAGACATTTTCAACTTATTTTTCATCCTGTTAGCTTACTGTTGGGTGCTTTTTAACATTCATTCGTGTGTGTGTGTGTGTGTGTGTGTGTGTGTGTGTGTGTGTGTGTGTTAATGCCTGTGCATTTGTGCCCTTGTGGAGAGCTTTTGGGAGTCAGTTTTCTCTTTCCACCCGAGGGTCCTAGGGTTGTCAAAATCAGTTTATTAGGCTTCACAGCAAGCACCTTTACCTGCTGTAATCTATCTCACTGGCCCTGAATGTAATTTTTATTTTAAAAAAAGAAACTGTCAAACTGTTTCCAAAAGTGGTTATGCTAGTTTACATACCCACTCAGCATGAATGAGTGTTAAACTTTATTTTTTCCAAGACAGGGTTTTCCCTGTGTAGACCTGACTGTCCTGGACTGACCCTGTAGACAGGCTGGCCTCAAACTCGGAGATTCACCTGCCTCTGCCTCCCGAGTGCTGGGATTAAAGGTGTGCGCCATCTCTGCCCAGCAGAGAACTTAAACCTTTTCTTTGTTTTTATATCAAGTTGCCTGTCCTCTTACAGTTGAGTTGTAAATGTTCTTTTTATATTCTAGATACAACTCCTTTGTTGGATATGTTTTACAAAAATTCCAATCGTTGGTTTGCCTTTGTCTAAGACACTTTAATAGTATCTTAGAAGAAATAATTTTTTTTATTGGGATAGTATCCAGTTTATTGATACTTTACATCTTGTGTGTTTGTGCTTTTACAATAATAACCATGCTGTCATTCTGGTTTTTAAGATCGATTTCATTTTTAGCTATGTGTCCCATATGCACCTATGTGAGCTTGTGTGCGCGTAACACAGTGGTTCTCAACCTGTGGCCCATAGCCCCTTTGGGGGTCCCATAGCAGATATTTGCATTGGAATTCATCACAGTGGCAAAATTACAGTTTAAAGTAGCAATGGAGTAATTTTACGGTTGGGGATCGCCATAACGTTAGGAACCCTATTAAAGGGTGGCAGCATTTGAAAGGTTGAGAACCACTGATGCCTTCAGAAATCAGAAGATCATGCTGAATCCTGTGGGAACTGAACCCAGGTGGCCCTTTGCAAGAGTGGTCAGCTCTCTTAGCCTCTGACCACCTCTCCAGCCCCGTTTTGCGCTTTCTTTTTATATTGTATCAATATAGCAGAAACAGTTCGAAACCACAAGGGTTTCTTCAGTGCTTTCTTCTAGAAACTTCACGAGCTTTTCCCAGTAGGTCTGCAATCTGTTTCTAGCTAATTATGGATAAGGCTTGAGGTGGAGTGACTTTCTTCTGGCTCATTCCTCGCCATCAAAGGTTAATTTTGCTAAAATGGAAATCTTACGGTGTCACAGCTCTGCTTGCATGTCATCCATGAGGGAAGACTTCAGCTTACCTGCTGAGCTAGGTACACAGCTCTGATTATGTCCCTTCCAGCACTTGTTTCCCTGTTCATGGACATTACTGTATCCTTCAAATGTGAATCAACTCTCCATACTTTAGGGCTCGTTATCATTGTTCCCCTTGCCTGGAAATCCAGTGGTTTGATGCTGAATGGTTTTTATTATCAATTTGACACCATCCGGAATCACCTGGGATAGGCCCTTGATAAGGAATTGTCTACATCAAGTTGGCCTGTGGTCATATCTACAGGGGATTGTCATGACTGATGGTCTTAATTAATTACATTGACAAAGGAAGTCTTAAAACAGCCTAGCATAGACTCTGTCCTGTGGTTCACACTTTTGATCAGATTAGCAAATTCAGTATGTCATGGTTTAAATAGGTTTGGCCTGAACAGACTCATGTGTTTGAATGGTTGCCTCACAGGGAGTGGCACTGTTAGGAGGTGTGGCCTTGTTGGAGTGAGTGTAGCCTTGTTGGTGGAAATGTGTCACTGCTGGGGTGGGCTTTGAGGTCTCCTAGGCTCAGGCTCCGTCCAGTGTGGAATCAGAGCCTTCTCCTGATTACCTATGGAAGACAGTCTCCTTCTGCTGCCTGCAGATCATGATGTGGAAATATCGGTTCCTCTGGCACTCTGCCTGCACACTGCCTGCCAGGCTTCCTACCATGATAATAGTGGACTGAACCTCTGAAACTGTAAGCCAGCCCAATTAAATGTTTGCCCTTATAACAGTTGCTTTGGTAATGGTGTCTCTTCACAGCAATGGAATCCTAACTAAGATAGAAGTCAGCCATATTAGTAGACACATGGAAGACAGAAATTGGTATTAGATGCTACGATAGGCCTGACCATGTTTTTGCTTGGAGAAATGTGGATTTGGATTTGGAAAGCAGTGGAATGGCTTACGCGAGGCTTAATGGGCCGTCCAAGAACCCTGGGGGTCTGGCTCAAAAGGTTTGAGAGAAGAATTTTAGTATGTGGCCTAGAGACTGTCCTTGTGATATTTTGATATCAAATAAAACTGCTTTTTGACCTTGTCTAAATAGTCTGCCCTAGGCTAAAATGAAGAGATTTAGATTAATTTCATTGACAAAGAAAATCTATAAATGACCTAGCCTAGACTCTGTCCTGTGGTTCACGCTTATGAAAAGCCTTTTGCTCAGATGCAACAAATTGAGAAAGGAATGGTTCAAAGATTAAAGGGGGCACTGGGAAGTGGACTGGAGCTAAGTCCTGTGTTCAAGGGTACTGAATGGAGTTAAGGGAGTGATGACTTGAGGGCAAGGTCCCCCTAGCTAAGCTTATTGTTCCTATGTTTCAGCTGAACAAGGGATAGTCATATCGTGTTAGGCATTATTACGACCTGGTTATTATTTTCATTTGGACATAAGGAGATATGATTGTGTGTCAAACTGACAAGGGCTGGATTGTGATGGCTAGTCTGGATTGTGATGGTTGTTAGCTATATCTGAAATGAACTGTAATCTGGAGATGGAGAGCTCACTTGATCCTGAGGCTGAAAGACACAGGCATTTGATCCGGCTCCTGAGGCATGGCGGTCATGCTTTCAAAGTTCTTGTGAAAGGAATTAAAGATAAGCCGAGGGCCAAGCATAGACCTAAGTACACACCTTTAATCCCAGGATACAGAGGCAAGCAGATCTCTGAGTTCAAGGCCAGCCTGGTACAGAGCAAGTTGCAGGTAAAGAAAAGCTTAGGTCCAGGTGTGGTGGTACATGCCTTTAATCCCAGCAGAAGCTGACAGCTTCGGCCTCTTTTCTCCGGCTTTAGAGTCAGAAAAGAAAGGGTTGCTGGGACAATCGATCTGGTTGGCTGACACTAAGAAAGCAGTGATGGTTAACAAGAGATCAGCATCACCGAGGTGAAATCTGGGTAGTATTTTCTGAGAACACACACAAGCTGTACTCTAGAGCTAGACCTCGTGCTGGCAGCCAGACTTGGTAATGTGTGCGAATCACCCAGGCGGTACTGCTTTTGAAGGCATGAAGGAGTTGTGGAGAGCAGCTGAGGCTTGGCACTGTAAGAAGCCAGGAAAAGCGAAGGTACAACCTCATTGGCAGCTGAGGTCGAGGCGTGCATAGCCCTGGGAAGACAGCCTGTGAGAGAGTATTGGTGAAAGCATGGCCTGGTTGCAAACAGAAGAGCCCAGTGCCCCGGGAAGACCACTGAGAACAGCAGCAGTGGAGTGCAGTCAGCCAGAGCCCGGAGTGCGGCAGAGGGCAGAGCTGGAGAAGTGACCCGATCCCTTCGGAGGAGCCTAGAAGATTATGTGTGGATCCCGGACACTGGAACATGTTTTGAAATTGAAGCTGCCTTGGAGACTCCAAGATGTTAAAGATTCCAGAGCCTTGGGACACCTGCTCAGGGGAGCTGCTAACAGGGAGAGGGACCAGCCCAAGGGAAGGAAGTGTGCTGCAGTCAACAAGGCTCAAAGAAGTTGGACATCAAACATCAAGATGCAAAGCTTGGAGTTTGCCCAACTGGTTTTTGTCTTGCTTAGGTCCAGTATTTCCTCACTATGACATCTCAGAATAGTAATGTATGTCCTGTGATGTTAGCAGTATGTGATATGTTTTTTTT